GAGAGACAGAGACACAGAGAGAGAGAGAGAGAGAGAGAATGCGAGCGAGACTGAGGTTCAGGCTTGAGGTTTTGCCTCTGAGGCCTTCGGAATAAAGTTAAGGTTTCGTGGACGGCTGGAAGTTGAGGATGTAGTTTAAGTTTACGGTTTGGTTGCACAGCGGTACCAAAATCCTGAAACACCAACCCTACACCTTTAGCCCGAGAGTTTGAATGTCGATTGCCGAAGCCAAATGCTAGACCCGAGAAACTTGAAGCTTCGGTTTAGCGTTAAGGGTTTATGGTTAAGGGTTTAGGGTTTAGTAAGTAAGGTTATAAGTACTCTACTTGGGGTTATAACTATAGTTACCTTGTTTATAACCCTAGTTACTAAGTCCCATGATCCTCCAAGTACACCTAAACCCTAAACCCTAAACCCTGAAACCCTAGTTAAGTCCCATGATCCTCCAAGTAATGCTACGCCGCTATCTTTCCTTTGAGGCGGGGGCAAAAGGATGGGCCGACGCCCAGCAGCGGGCAGCCTCCCGGAGCTCAAGGAGTTGCTTCTGGGGTTCTGCTGAAGTAATGTAGGGGCCTAAATAAATACATATACTATCTTGGGAGTTCCTTGTTATATTAATAAATATAGTATAGTGGGCCCCAAAACCCTATTCTAATTATTATTATTAAGGCCCCATACGTTATCTCCAGCTGGAGGGCATCGTCAGCCTTTGCTGTTGCCGCTGCTTCTTGGGCGGCCTCCTCCTCCTCCTCCCCCTCCTTCTATCAGCACTATGCATTCCCAGTCTTCTGAATCGGTCTTCATCATAGCAGTGATGGAGGAGATAGGGCAATGAAGCTGTTACTGTATTCGTGAAGCAGCAGCCGTCGTTATGAGGAGCCATCAGACGTAAGACGCAAGAGCTAGTTCAGTCGAAGGAGCAAAGCAAAACATCCCGAAAGCCGGAACCCTGAACCCTAAACCCTCAACTCGGCCGAAGGTAGTCTGACATGCCTGCCCAACATGGGCTTTGGAGCGCAAGCAACAGAAAAGGCCCTAAAAAAAAAACCCTGAACTCTAAACCCTAAACCCTAAACCCTTAAAAACAGAACCCTCAACTCTAAACCCATCTAAACCCTAAGCCCTAAAACCCTAAACCCTAAAACCCTAAAGCCCTAAAACCTAAAGCCCTAAAACCCTAAAACCCCAAAAACCTGAAACCCTAAAGCCCTAAAACCCCAAGCCCTAAAAGGCCGAATCTGCCCGAGGAGCTCCTCCTACCCGAGGATCAGCTTCGGGACTGGGCGCGCGCGGAGTTGCAGGAGGCCCCCGATATCCTTGAAGGAGTTTTCTAGAGGGTTTAGGGTTTAGGATTTCGGGTTTAGGGTTTAAACGGGTTTAGGGTTTAGGATTTAGGGTTCAAGGCTCAAGGTTTAGGATTTAGGGTTTAGGGCTCAAGGTTTAGGGTTTAGGGTTTAAAGTTTAGGGTTTAGGTTTAGGGTTTAGGGTTTAGGGTGATTGCTGTGAGGGTTCCTTCAAGGGATACCAAGAAGGGTCTCTTGCAAGGGTTCCTGCAAAGGCAACTTATAAGGATTGCTAGGATTCCTTAAAGGGTTACTGCAAGGGCTAGATGGGTTACTATACTCCTGCTTACGACATCCCCTGATCCTTCAAGTTCCAATCGAGCGCTCTGGCAGCCAAAACTCCTGCCCTAAACCCTAAACCCTAAACCCTAAACCCCAAACCTTTGAAACCCTAAACCCTCCTTAGCGCTAAACCAGATCCTCAATCCTGAACCCTAAGCCACAGAACCCCAAAACCAAAACCCTAAAGATCGGCCTCAAACCCAAGACCCAAACTCTTACAAGCCCAAAGTCTAAGGTTCCCTAGAGACCTGATCCTTGCATCGGAACCTCCCTGCCCGTTTTTTTGCGGAGTCCGAGGCCCAAGATCATCCTGTGCCCTCTGATGTTGCCTTGTTTAAGGTTTCCGAGGGTTTTAGGGTTTAGGGTTGGTTCAAGGTTTCAGGGTTTCGGGTTTTGGGGCTTAGCATTGGGTTGACGGCTTTAGGCTTTATGGCTCGGCAAGGTCGGCAACTGGGATCTCTCATGTTTTGGCTTACTCTGTCCGAGAGGATGTTGCTTCAGAATGGCTTTCAGAGCTCAGCCTAGGGCAGTTAGTGTCAGATGTACCGTTACTTACAACTATTATCAGTGTTGGTGCTTCAACTTTAGGTTTCCCAACGCTAGTTTCATTATGTTGACTGCAAAAGTAATGAAGTAATTGTTGGGTTTTCTTGGTGCCAAGATGTGGGTTCTGAGACTTATTGGCTCGTGTTGGGGCTGTTTATGCGAGGCATCCAAGGGTTTCATGTCTGCATGTACCGCCCCCTGAGTTTCTGAAACTCTCACGCCATAACTATCCTTATTGTTGTTGACGTGGTTATCAAGTTTCAAAATTTTTTACCTACTCCATCATGCCTTTGTATGCCACCATATGCTACTAGCATTCCTCTGGTTCATAGTCTTGTTCTTGCTTGACCCTAGAAGTGTCTGCATGAAGCCGGCGCCCTCGTCACGAAGTCCAAAAATCTCGTCGGGCGTTGAGAGTAGCGCTCATGCCCAAAGCCTGAGCCTAAAGCCCAAAGTGGCTTTCAAGATCCGCAGTCCCAAATCAAGTCCCCCAAAATTCAAAACCCTAAACCCGAAACCCTAAGAAAAAAAACCCTAAACCCTAAATCCCAGCTTCCGCTCAGCAAGACCCGCAAACCCCTGAAGCTTGAAACGAACGCCCGAAGCTCGATGCCCTGGCCCCCAAACCCTGAGGTAGGATATGTACGGGCCTGAAGAGTTAGGATAGGGTTCTGGGGTACATGACACTACAAGTGTAGTAAGGAGCCCCAAAATCGTGTAGGTATTCATTTAGGCCATATTTTAAACACTCAAGCCCGAACCCGAAACCTCTAAACCCTAAAGCCCGAAACCCTAAACCCCGAAACCCTGGACCCTAAACCCAAACCTCTAAATCCTAAACCCTGAACCCAAACCTCCAAACCCTAACCCCTGAACCCAAACCCCGAAACCCTTAACAAAAAACCCAAACCTCTAAACCCAACCATCTACACCCTAAACCCTGAATCCAAACCTCCAAACCCTAAACCCTGAGCCCAAACCTCCAAACCCTAACCCCTGAACCCAAACCCCGAACTCCTGAACAAAAAAACCCAAACCTCTAAACCCAAACCTCTACACCCTAAACCCTGAACCCAAACCTCCAAACCCCTATAGAACCCTGAACCCAAAACCTCCAAACCCTAGATCCCCCCTAAACCCTAAACCCTAAACCCTAAACCCTAAACCCTAAACCCTAAACCCAAGCCGGCGTCGAGGCGGCAGATTCCGGTCGCAAGGCGTGGTGTCGAAGCTTGCGGCTTCGCGTATCTGTGAGCTGCGTGGACGGTACAAGACTTCAGGCGTAGGGTTTTGATAGAGGTTTCATAGGTGTCTATAGAGTTCTATAGGTTTTTTTAAATATTTCTTTTTATACAGGGTTTTGTCGGAGTTTGCTGGGGTGTTGTCGTGGTCTTTTTTGGGGTTTAAGCCTGAGGGGTTGTGGACAAACAGGTTTCTGCATTCGATATGCTATCGAGACTAAATGGTGTGACGCAGAATTCACTTCGAGCTTTTTCAACCGGCATAGGTTAGCCATGAAGTCCAGTCTGACACAAGTAGATGGCTTGATCCGACTCCCAATTTGCCCAACCTCCCTAAACCCTAGACCCTACACCCTAAGTTGGCTTCAACGTGAAAAGAGGATCCTCACAGAAGAGCCCGAATTTGACCAAACTCTCCCTAAACCCATCCTACAGGGGGTTCCTTGAAAGTGTCATGGTAGGGTACTTGACCGGCAACGGAATGTTATCAGGGTTCCACAGATGGGTGTGATCCTACTTGGAGGATCAGAGAACTTAGTAAGCAGGATTATCAGTGCAGTGAGTGTAGCTGCTATAGAAGCCTAAATAATTGCCAACATTACTGGTACGGTTCCCTATTATGATAATACTATATATATATATACAAGGGAGCCCAAAACCCTATTCTAATTGTTAAGGCCCCCTATATTCTCATTACTTCCAACCTCCCGTTTTTGGCATGTTTCATCCGCCGGTTCCCAAGTCCCCCGGTCCTCCAAGTATTAGTAGCCCGTATAAAAGCCCTTACAGTAACCCACCCTAAACCCTAAACCCTAAACCCTAAACCCTAAACCCTAAACCCTAAACCGTTTAGGAATCCGTACAGCAATCTCAATAGTTACCAAGCATCCGCATGTTGAGAGGTCAGGGCCGTCGCTGTGCTGGCGACGGAGGCGGACCAGGCGGCTGATGCGGTGGAGGCGCGGTTTTCTTTCCCGTGACTTGTGAAGCTCTAGACGGTTTAAGGGTTTAGGGTTTAGGGTTTAGGGTTTAGGGCTTAGTAAGTAAGGTTATAAGTACCCTAATTGGGTTATAATTATAATTACCTTAATTTATAACCCTAGTTACTAAGTCCCATGATCCTCCAAGTAGGGTTTACCCAGAGAGCCCAATACCCCTTAACTCAGGGTACCTTCAATTATGGGGGCCTGAATACTATGATTTAAGGTATATTCCTTATCTAAGGGGTATTGGGCTCTAGGATTTACATAGGGCTTACTTAGTATTCGTGCCTTCGGACAGCAGGGCTTTGAGTTTCGGGCTTTGGGGTTCCGTGACGGTAGGGTTTAGGGGACTCGGAGGATCATGGGACTTAGTAAGTAGGGTTATAAGTACCCTAATTGGGGTTGTTACCTTATTTATCACCCAAGTTACTAAGTCCCATGATCCTCCAAGTGGCGTTTCGTGGTATAGGGTCTTGGCTGCGGGATTTAGGCTTAGAGTTTAGGGAAACCTCACAGCCCCAAACCGTGGATCCTAGACTCCTAAAGCTCCATATGCCAAGTGCTCGTTCTATATGCCAAGTGCTCGTTCGAAAAAGCCTGCATGCCGAATCCCAAGTCCACGTCAACACCATACATGAATGTCATATTAATACTCTTGACTACTGCTATTGTGATTGCTAATATGGTTTTTCTTCTTATCACTGTTATTATGCTACTGCTGCTATTGCCACTACGATGAGGAAGGCTGCTAACTACTACTCTGACTACTGCTATCATTGTGTTTGTCCTTATTCTTGTGTTTGCTCTTTTGTTCTTTGCTAGTGTGTTGGATTGCCATGATGCTCAGGTCCTCCGCTCGATGGGCTTCAAGCGAGTCGCCAATCTGCGCACAAAGGCGGTGCTTACACTCCCTTGCTGAGAGTATCAGAGACTTTGGCAGGCCTTGCTTGCTCAGTCCCTTGATCCTCAAGGTAGACGAATGTGGAAGTGGAAAAAGGGATTCATCACAGACCATCGTCTACCACGACTTATTTGACTCTTGTAAAGTTTTTACTGCTGGGAGTACGGCTGCTATGACTATCATATACTGCAGCTTTTGTTTCTGGAGGAACCGCCTCAGAACTGTTGTTGTCGTAATTGTCAATATTGCTATCCCGACAGCTCCGAGGATTGTCAGGATCAGGCTGGTTCTGCTTCGTCGTCGGGAGATTTTCTCAAGATGCTTCTTCAAACCCTAAACCCTAAACCCTAAACCCTAAACCCTAAACCCTAAACCCTAAACCCTAAACGCTAAACCCTAAACCGTAGATTCTGCACTATGCCCAAGGAGTCAGGCTCCCCTTCTAGCTCCGGTTTATGGCCGGCCCAAGCCCCAAACTTGATCCCCAATACTTTGAACGGTAAGGTAGGGGCCTAAACAATTACCTATACTATTTTGGGGGTTCCTTAGTCGGCCCCAAAACCCCTATTCTAATTATTAACGCCCCTATATTAAACCGCGGCAGGCGTTTCTGCAGCAGCTGCAATCCCTTCCTCTGAGCGAGTGAAAGCTTGCAGAAAACACGGCCTGCGCGGGTCTGTGCGTGTGGGTCGTGGTGGTTTAGCGAAGCCTGAGAATCACAATTTAGAAACCCTAAACCCTAAACCCTAAACCCTAAACCGCATCCGGGGTGAGGTGAATGAACTTCAGTGATGAGCTTATGATGCAAGGTTGATTTTTTTTTGTCATGATTTGGGAGTTTCAGAAAAGCAGGGTACCTTATTTGGGGGTCCTTATAATAGGGATCCTATCATTTAGGGTACTATATTATTGGGGTCCTTATAATAGGGATCCTATTATTTAGGGTACTATGTTAGGGTCACCTATTTTGGGAACTCCCCATTTAGGGCTCAGGGTTCGACCTGGATGTGCTCAGAGGAAACACCGCTAACATGGTTTCAGCAGTTGGAAGTGCGACAGGTTCTGATCCCGCGAACCGCAGCTATGCACACCCATACAACGGAGCATCACGATGAGCAAGAGCACTCAGATGGCAAGCTAGATCCCACCACATTCCCCGGTGGATACGATTTCTTCGGAAGACCGGCATTTACTATACACATGCATGTGCGCAGAATCATATAGTTTCTGCTAGCGTAGTGGGTGTAGCAAGGTCGGAGGCTGTTTGCAGTTTTTCCCCGTTCAGTCAATCCCTAAGTCCTGACTACGAAGAAGTTCCTACGCGTGAGAAGTGTTCAATCGCCGGAGCGTGTTGCTGCGCTGCTGGCCCCCCGGCTCGTGCAATGGGAAATGCTAGCTTCTTGGCTGCACGCATCTTTACGGGGTTTTAGGTTCATCCCCTTCAATGGCCCCTTCAATGGACCAGGTATTGAGAGCCACCACCAGAGTTTGCTGTTCTTAGACCCAGGATATCGGGATCTAGGGAGTTCTCGGGCTTCATAGACTTCAGCCATTCCGAAACCCCAAACGACTTCATCCATTCATTCCTTTGGGACGGGCTTTAGGAATTAGGGTTATACTACAGGGGTTCCCTTATGGGAATTTAGGAATTAGGGATATACTACAGGGGGATTTAGGAATTAGGGTTATACTACAGGGGTTCCCTTATGAGGATTTAGGAGTTAGGGTTATACTACAGGGGTTCCCTTATGGGGATTTAGGAATTAGGGTCATACTACAGGGGTTCCCTTATGGGGATTTAGGAATTAGGGTTAACCCTAAACCCTAAACCCTAAACCCTAAACCCTAAACCCTAAACCCTAAACCCTAAACCCTACAGGGGTTCTATGACGTGCTGACGGTGTGGGTGCGTGATGTGGAGAGCCGAGGGCCTGAGAGCAGGCAAGTTAGGTGTAACAAAGGAGCCCCTGAAGGAGCCCTTTAAGGGTTTAGGGTTTAGGGTTTAGGGTTTAGGGTTTAGGGTTCCTTTAAGGGCTCCTTTGAAAGGTTCTATAGGGTTTAGGGTCTGGGGTTCATGGGTAGTTATAAGTGGGGTTATAAGTCCCCTAATATGGGTTATAAGTACAGTTACCCTACTTATAACCTCAATAGGGCCCTAAACGCCAAGCCCTTACAGAACCGCAGTGTCCCCCCAGGTGGCCACCTGGACATCTGCGCACAGGACGGATCTCCCAACTTTGGTTTTAGCTTACAGGTCTAAGGGGGTTTGGTTTGGGGTCTAGGGTTTAGGGTTTAGCGTTTAAGGGGGTTGAGGGTGTATGGTCGTTTACGGCAGTCCATACTAAGGGTGCTTTAGGATTTAGGTTAGCAGAGCAGTGTTATGAAATCCACCCCCCTTTCGGACCCTGCCTTCGGGCATTAGGCTGAAGGCCCCCCGCGCCCAAGAGTCTCGCAGCGTTGAGGCGCTGGTGCCTCGGCCTGGCCACTCTGACTGAAGTCCTTGAGCCATGATGTAACTTTGAAGATGTCCGGCAGCTTTTTTACACCCGCACTGGGCTAAACAATGGGTGGAGCCTATGGAGAATGGTCGAGTACAGCTCCCAGCCACAGCTGGGTCCACTTCATGGGAATAACTTTAAGCCCCCAAACCAAAGCCCTATGCAGGGTTTTGGTGGTTTTCCGGCACCCAACATGCCCTGACCTGCCCTGCCCTTGGCCTGGCCTGGCCTGCCTGCCCTTCCCTGCATGTATGACAAGGTGTGGGAATTGAGGGCGTAGGCCCTAAACCCTAACGAGAGGTGGTTTGGGTGGTTGCCTGTGGCATCATCATAGCGGGCGGGTGAGAAGAACTTCCGGTTTCACCGAGTTCTAGTACACAACACACAAGAAGTCGCTTCACGCGATATACGCCGCCACCCACAAACCCTGGTGTGAGGTGGCGCCATCT